GTGGTTGTTGTGGGAGCAGCTGTGATTGTGGGAACAGCTGTGGTTGTGCTTGGAGCAGCTGTGGTTGTGCTTGGAGCAGCTGTGGTTGTGCTTTGAGCAGCTGTGGATGTGGTTTGATGCACTGTGGTTATTGTGACAGCTGCTGTGGTTGTGGTTGGAGCAGCTGTGGTTTTGGTGGGAGCAATATTTGTAGTTTTGGCAGCAGCTGTAGTTGTGGTTGGAGCAGCTGTGGTTGTGGGAACAGCTGTGGTTGTGCTTGGAACAGCTGCGGTTGTTGTGGGAGATGCTGTGGTTCTGCTTGGAGCAGCTGTGGTTGTGCTTGGAGCAGCTGTGGTTGTTGTGACAGCAGCTGTGGTTGTGGTTGGAGCAGCTGTGGTTGTGGTGGGAGCAATATTTGTAGTTGTGGCAGCAGATGTAGTTATGGTTGGAGCAGCAGTGGTTGTGATTGGAGCAGCTTTGGTTATGATTGAAGCAGGAGTGGATGTTGTGGGAGCAGCTGTTGTTATTGGAACAGCTGTGCTTGTGCTTGGAGCAGCTGTGGTTTTGCTTGGAGCAGCTGTGGTTGTGCTTGGAGCAGCTGTGGATGTGGTTTGATGCACTGTGGTTGTTGTGACAGCAGCTGTGGTTGTGGTTGGAGCAGCTGTGGTCGTGGTGGGAGCAATATTTGTAGTTTTGGCAGCAGCTGTAGTTGTGCTTGGAGCAGCTGTGGTTGTGGATGGAGAAGCAGTGGTTGTGGTTGGAATTGCAGTTGCAGTTGTAGCAGCAGCTGTGGTTGTGGTTGGAGCAGCAGTGGTTGTTGTTGGAGCAGCAGTGGTTGTGGTTGGAATTGCAGTTGCAGTTGTGGCAGCAGCTGTAGTTGTGCTTGGAGCAGCTGTGGTTGTGGTTGGAGTAACTGTGGTTGTTGTGGGAGCAGCTGTGGTTGTGGGAACAGCAGATGTGGTTGTGCTTGGAACAAATGTGGTTGCACTTGGAGCAGCTATTGTTGTAGTTGGAGAAGCTTTGTTTGTGGTTAAAGAAGCAGTGGTTGTTGTGGCAGCAGATGTTGTTGTGCTTGGAACAGCTGTGGTTGTTGTGACAGCAGCTGTAGTTGTTGTTGGAGCAGCTGTGGATGTGGTGGGTGCATTAGTTGTAGTTGTTGCAGCAGCTGTGGTTGTGGTTGGAACAGTTGTGGTTGTGGATGGAGCAGCAGTGGTTGTGGTTGGAACTGCAGTTGTAGTTGTGGCAGCAGCTGTGGTTGTGGTTGTAGCAACAGTGGTTTTGATTGGAGCAGCTGTGGTTGTGGTTGGAGCTGCAGTGGTTGTGGTTGGAACTGCAGTTGTAGTTGTGGCAGCAGCTGTAGTTCTGGTTGGAGCGGCTGTGGTTGTGATTGGAGCAGGAGTGGTTGTTGTGGGAGCCGCTGTGGTTGTGCTTGGATCAGCTGTGGTTGTGCTTGTAGCAGCTATGTTTGTTGTGACAGCAGCTGTGGTTGTTGGAGCAGCTGTGGTTGTGGTCGTAGCAATATTTGTAGTTGTGGCAGCAGCTGTAGTTGTGGATGGATCAGCTGTGGTTGTTGTTGGAACTGCAGTTGTAGTTGTGGCAGCAGCTGTAGTTGTGGTTGAAGCAGCAGTGGTTGTGGTTGGAGCAGCTGTGGTTGTGGTTGGAGCAGCAGTGGTTGTTGTGGGAGCAGCTGTGGTTGTGGGAACAGCTGTGGTTGTTGTTGGAGCAGATGTGGTTGTGCTTGGAACAGCCATGGTTGTGGTTAGAGAAGCTTTGTTTGTGGTTAAAGAAGCAGTGGTTGTTGTTGCACCAGATGTTGTTGTGCTTGGAACAGCTGTGGTTGTTGTGACAGCAGCAGTGGTTGTTGTGGCAGCAGCTGTGGTTGTGGTTGGAGCAGCTGTGATTGTTTTCGGAGCAGCTGCGGATGAGGTTGTAGCAGCTATGGTTGTG